TCTTCTGGATCCTGGGCTGCTTCCTGCCCAGCTGCTTTGTACCTTCCAGGCAGTCTTTCCCTTAGCAGGGGGAGAGGAGGCTTCCAGGCAGAGGCAGTGCTCCCACAGGGCCACCCTTGCTGCCCCACCTGTCTGTGCCACACCTGGTATGGGGACCTCAAACTCAGGTTTGGGGGCAGCAGTAACATGTCTGGGGCCCTCTCTGACACTGTTCACACATGCTTAAACCTCTGGTGTGGAAGCTGCCTGGTGGCTGTGCCCTGCCCATCTCTTCTCCTCTGCCTGGCATGACTTGTTCCTACCATCTGGCAATGGCAGGCAACATGATACAGTAGGCAGTCTACCCAATCTCAGCTCAGTGCCAGCTGGAGGGTCCCCATGTCACTCTGTATCTTCTGGCTAGGCACTTCCTGGCCAGGAGGTGGTTAAGGTGAAAAGAGCTGTCTCCTGTTTGGCACCGTGGGGTGGGCTGTGCAGGAGCTTTTCCTCAGACCCCCAGCATAGCTCCAGGTCTTCCATAGGAAGCCCCTGTTTGGGGAAGTGAGGGATGGCCACCAGGGAGGGAGGCAGGATGAGGATTCCCAGGAGGGATGGGTGAGGAGGCTTGCCCAGGGAGGGCCCCCTTCCCTGGACTTCACTTTCTCTCCAGACCTCTGTCCTGGCTGGGTGTAACTACACCCTGAGTTTGGCCCCCATCTGCAGGCCTGGAGGTGGGCATGGGGTGTGCTCCTGTCTCCCAGAGGCAGGGCTGTCAGCCTGGTCTTCAGAGGGAACCACGGGGAGGCCCAATAACCGGAGTGGTTCTGAGTGCCCAGCCTGCCAAAGCTCTGGGCAGGGCAGGTGTCCAGGCTGAATTGGTCCAGTGCCTGTCCGGATGGGGGGTGGAGTTCTTGGCTTTCTGCCTAAGCAAGGATCATTTTCATCTTAAAACCTCCTCTCACAGCCTTTGAGAGATGCTGGGCCAAAGCAAGCTCTCCTGCCCCTTGTGGGGTGCTAGGAAGAGAGGCTTCAAAGTGTACTGATCTATCTTCTCCATGAGCCCCTGAGGCTGTGACAAAGGACTTGACACTGAGGCAGCTGGGGCCTTCAAAGCAAGCTCTCCTGCCCCTTGTGGGGTGCTAGGAAGAGAGGCTTCAAAGTGTACTGATTTATCTTCTCCATGAGCCCCTGAGGCTGTGACAAAGGACTTGACACTGAGGCAGCTGGGGCCTCGCCTTACATGGGATTGTGGGCTAGTGGGTTCCCTGATGGGGTGCTGCTCCAAGGGTCAAGAGGCAGCGAGGTGGGTGCAGGAAGCCATAGGACCTACCCTCTGCCATCGTCATTGGCCATTTGGCTGGTATATGTTGGGGCAGGGGTGGGTGCACAGGGTAGGGCATCTGAAGGGTGTCCTTAGCCTAGGGCTTCGACTGCCCTCTGGAGACACACCGACGGTCATCCAGCCAGGGAGAAGCCAGGAGAGGCAGGGACCTGCTTCCTCTGTGGCTGCTCTGACCTCAGGAGCTGCTTCCCGTGTGCCCTCAGGCACAGTGCCAGTTGGGAAATTGAGGCTGAACTGGCACCCCTGGGTGGGATGGAAACCAGCAAAAGGAGGGGGTGCCCATGCTCACTCTGTAGACACATCCTTCCACACTGTTGGCCTCAGGTCTTCCTACCTCGTGGGGAGGTGAGAGGTAGGGGTGGGTGGTGGGGTAAAGGCTCAGCCAAACTGTACTGTGTAAAGACGAGAGGGGCTCTGCCTCCTTACGTGGGGAGCCACAGAGCACATGGCTTCTGGGTGGCCCTGAGGGTCAAATAACGCAGGCATGGCAAGGGCAGGTGTGGCCAGGCTTATAGCGGTGCCCCATAAATGTTGGCTGGTGGTGTTTCCAGGAGGGCAGGGAGGCATGTGCTGAGTTTCTCAGATGGGAGTGTCTGGTGAAAGACTGGAAGTTAATTGGCTTGTTTCATTCAAGGTGGAATATGCGTACAAAGAAGTGCCCTGATCTTCAGTGCAGCCCTTAATGAGCTTTGACCAGTGTGTCCACCTTAACCCAGACTCCCAGCAAGATAGAGAGCTGCCCTCATCCCAGAAAGTTCCTCATGCCCTGTCCCAGATAGTCCTCATTTTGCCCATCACCTCTGATTTGGTTTCTACCCTGCGTTTTGCCTGTTCTAGCACTTGTTGTAAATGGAGTGGAGCAGCCTGTTGTGCAAGGCTTCCTCCTCTCAGTGCCATGGCTGTGAAATTCATCCATGAGTTTGCATCAGTTCTGCCCAGTTTTGTTTTTTTTTTAAGGATTTTAAAAGTAATACCTACTTAATTTAAAATGATGAGTATTACAGAAATGAATGAAGACTCTTTAGTTTTCCTATAATCCCATCCCCCAGAGACAGCCTCATTTTGGCAGGTGGATGTGCTTGCCCCCAAGGTATTTCTTTCCATAGGATGGAATAGTGTGGGCCTTCAAAGTGGCCGAGGTACCATTAGTTGAGGGAGGACAGGGAACCCCCCTCATCTCCCTGACTAAGTTCTACAGACTTGGCAGAGGGGGCAAGTGCTGCCAGTGGCTTGAAAGTCTGGGCTGTCTCAGTGCTGTTCTAGTCTCTCTGGGCCCTGGTGTACCCTCTGTATGGGGAACATGCCTCTCTGGCTTTTTTGTGGCAGGGACCAGAAGGGGAAGGAAAGGGGCAGGTGAGTGGTGACCATTCCATAAACAGAGTCATGGATCTGATGTCTAATGGAGGGCCTGGGAAGGTAACCCAGAGTGGTTTTTTTTCCCCCACTGTATTTTCTGTGCTTACAAGAGAGAGAGCTGGCCTTTCCCCAGTGGCTGGAGTTGAGGGGTCCTACCCAGGGAGGCAGTTTCTGTGCCACCCCTTCCTGTCCCTTCTCTGGGTCCCCCGAAGGTTCTGTCCCTTAGGGGAGTTGCACTAGAGAGTGGAGAGACAGCCCTGGGAGGGGTCAGGTCACAGCCTTAGAGGAATACCCAGCTGACCTTCACAGCCCAGGCCTGCTGTCCCACTACCCCAGATCCTGGGCACCCTGGGAACTAGCTTTCTGGGCAGGCCACGCCAGGTGTGTTGTCCTTGGGACTGATTGGCACACTGCCTGGGCCAGCGTCCAGGGGCTGCTGGGTGCCGAGCGGTGTCCTCATCATAGCCTTGGCCTCTCTAGGGTAGGTGCTTGCTGTTCTTGCGCCCAGTGGTGAGAGGGTAGGGCAGAGGTCTCTGGGTGTTTTCATTTGGGCTTGAAAGAAGAGAGCAATGCTTCATAGGGGTCCTGCGGCAGGGTAGCGTGTGGCCCCCTCTCATGGGGTGAGGATGCAAAGTTGCTTGCCGACATAGTGGCAGCCCAGTCTAGATGTGGACGGCAGGCAGGGTGCCATTGTGCTTGCTGTGAACTCTGAGCAGCAGCTCTGCCGCTGTCTTCTACCTCCAGTGACATCTGAACAGCCTAGGTTTCCACCCCCCCACCCCCCCCTTAGATGTGAAGCCTTGATCTGTCACTTGGCCTAGCCTGGACTGGTGAAGGGCCAGGCCATGGGCACCCATGGAGGGCATTCCCATCCCTACAGTGCTCAGGTGCCCCAAGCCCTGTTCTGCCACCCACTTCCTGCACAGTGCCCAGCAGCTGGCCTAGCCTCTGACAGGGCAGGTAATCCCTAGTTAGTTGTAGGTTCTGGCTGGCACTGTGCCTAGGCGGGGCTCTGATTGACCTGAGGTCCTGAGAGGAGCTGGGCGAGGAGCAGATGGCGTGGCTCAGGGCTGCATAGTGGGCATCTGGGTGGCTCAAATGTGTGCCATGACTTCCTGTCCAGTCTTCCAGGCTGCCCTCACCAGTGTTTCGGTAGTTTATGCTTCCCCTTCCCAAGGCCGGGCTTGGTTCTGTCCTGTTGATGGAGTCGTCCTTGGTCTCACCCTGGCTTGAGCCCTCTCGGGTGAGGGGCCCAGCCCTATAGAGCTGGTTCTGCTGCCCTCTGGGCCTTTGGTGGGATCCTGGGCCCCTCCTCCGATGCCCCCTTTGAGAGGGGAGCTGCACTGGAGACTGGAGAGACAGCTGGCAGGCTGAAGCCAGGCCTCCCAGTCCTGGGCCTGCACCCCGGGTCTGGTCACATTCCTGAGGGACCTGCTGAGCATCCTTGGCCCTGGGGATGGGGTGGGGGAAGGGCAGACAGGGATGGGCTCCAGGCTGCTGCACGTCCCCTCCCCCACCCCTGGCTCTATTCCAGGGGAGCCCAGGCTGGCCTGTGTGGGCTGCAAGGACCCAGAACCTCAGGATCCCCCTGCTGCAAGACCCAAAGCTCTTGGGGGAGAAGGAGCCCACCCTCAGCTGGAGGCAACTGCCTGTGGCTTTGGCTGGCTGGTATTGAAAGGCTGAGCCTGCTGCTGTCGTGAGCCCTTAGGCAGTGAAACCTCTGGAGGGGGGAAGCCATGTGGTCATGCGGGGCTCGGCAGGAGGGGGCTGGGACCTCTGGGCAGGGAGGGAGCGAGAGCAGATCAAGAAGAGAAGGAGGCAGGAGGAGCCAGAAGCGGTTGAGACTGGTTCTCATAAATAGCCCTTGCACAAGTGGCTCCAATTTTGACCTTTTGTTATGTAAATATGGCCAGCCTGGGAAGGGCCTTGCCCAGGCCTCCTGCCACCATGGCTGGCCTGGGATTGTGTGCCTGCCATCAGCACCCCGCAACCCCCCCTCTCCCCACCACCCTGCCTAGTTGGCCCCTGGGGTATCGCGTGTGTGTGTGTGTGTGTGTGTGTGTGTGTGTGTGTGTGTGTGTGTGTGTGTGTGTGTGTGTGTGTGTGTGTGTGTGTGTGTGTCTGTGTGTGTGTCTGTGTGTGTGTCTGTGTAGTGTCATGTGTGTCTGTTGGGAGGAGTGTAATACCCACAGAGCTCCCCAGAATCTTCCCTGCCTCAGGTCTCACTGTGGGGCACTGTAGCCACTATCTCCTGATAGGCTGCCCCTGGGTATCCCAGCCAGCCAGACCCCCCCACCCCCAGACATTTCAGAGAGTGAGGGCTCCAGGCTCCTCTCCTTCATTGTCCCTCCCTTCCTAGCTGGTGCCTGTGTGGGTGACCATGTCTGTCTTATCCTCCCCAGGTGACCAGGCATTGATGCACCCCCGGGAAGTCTGCGCGCTCAAGGAGGCCACCCCTGCTGGCTGCTGCTCACATGGTTTCTGGGCCCCTGGCACTCCGGTACGAGGGGGAGGCGTGGCGGGGGGGACTCTCTCTGCTCCTTCTCCCCAGAGCTTTCCGGGCAGCTCATACATCCCCGCAGCTCTCTGCCTCACTTTTGTCCTGGCCTGCAGTCCTTTGTGTGCACGCAGCGCTGGGCGGTATGGAAGGAGCCCAGGGCCAGGCTGGCACCCTTGCAAGGCTTGGGGCACCAGGTGTTCTTGGTGCTGGCAGAGCTGGCACTGGCATTTCCCTGGGACCAGGTATCTGAGGCCCAGTGTGGAAGCCATGCCTTGGGCTCTTTGTCCCTGCCTTGCTGGTGGGGGAGGCTTGGAGTGGAGGAGGATTGGTTCCCTAAATCTTCGGCCTCTGAGTACCCTGCCAAGCTACTTCAGCTGTGCTGGCTGAGCTTCTGCCTCCTGCTGTTAAGCTCCAGAATGCCAGCTTTGGGGTGCTTGTAATTGTTAGGCTTTTCCTCTGCCTTTGCAAACAAGGGCAGATGTCAGGCTGGGAAGAGCCTTTGTGTCATGGGAAGGGAGAGCAGGGTGGACATGACATCTTCCAGGGCTCTGCTCCAGTGGGAAGCAGGACTGGGTGCTTTGGGAAGGCCAGGAGATCCTGGGGGCTGGCAAGGCTCAGAGCAGTTCAGCTCCTTATGGAGATTGGACCCTGAACTGCATGGCACGGGGCTGCCTGTGGGAGGGCACACATTCCTCGAGTGACTGGAGGGGGCTGGGAGCCACTGCCTTGCAGGTAGGGCCCTGCTGCTCAGTTGCCAGGAGTCATGAGTCAGTGCAGAGAGTTTCTGACTCCACCTGGCCTCCTCCCCTCAGGAACCCTGCGGGGGCTGGGCACAGGTGGACACCTGGGCACCGGCATGCGGACACCTGGGCACCGGCGGACACCTGGGCACCGGCATGCCCTGCCCAGCCCTGCACCTGCGCCCTTCTCTGATGAGCTGTTCTCTAAGACTCTGGCAGGTGTGAGAGGATGGAGCTGGAGATGCTGTTCCCCTCAATTGGGGGTTGGGGTTGGGGCTGAGGATGGCTTTGAGCATCATCCTGGGCACCACTGGCCCCAGTCCCTGCCTGTTCCCTTGGAGGGGCATTTCCCTCCTCCCCTGGGTTGTTCTGGGGCCTCTGCCCTTCCCTTGCTCTCCCCAGAGGGGGGTGCCCTGGTCCTTGGCAGAGAGGACTGGTCAGTGGGGGTGGGTAGCACCCCACTCTCAGAGCCCCATGCACACTGCTGCACCAGTGGGCTCGCAAGGTTCCTATGGAGACCAGGGGCACCTGTGTGTTTATTACTTAAAGACCTCAATTAGTGTCTGTGCCAGCCTGTCTGGCAGAGGCCAGCTGGTTGCCTTCCCTAGGCTCGGACTGTGGCTGCCCTTCCTAGAAAGGACGCAGGGCCCAGGTGGTGCCAGGGACTCAGCCAGGTTACCTTTCCCGCTCGGCACCTGCAGGCCAAGGCTGGGGAAGTGCTTGTGGGGTGGGGGTGGGCATTGGTGAGGAACGGTGGCCATGGGAGTGGCTAGGCAGTGGTTAGGCTGCAGGGGCTAGGAGGTTGCAATGTGATTTTTTTGGCAAATTTTAAAGCTTGGGCAGCCTCTAAGGCTGTTTGAGAGGCAGCAGTGGAGAGTAGAGGTTGTGCACTGGAAGCCAGTGGATATGTTTGCTTTGGCCCACACAGTATCTTAAAAAAAAGAACCTTCCTTTAGTATTGGTAGATTACACATGAAAATCTGGATTTCTAGCTTGTCTCGAAAGCTGGGAAGATCAGGTCCATGGGTCTGTCTGCCTAGGTGGGAATTGTCAGCTCACCTGGGGGCGCTCCCAGTTCCGCAGACAGCCTCTGGTTCCCACATGTCATAGCCACGTGCTGGTCATGTTTGGGTCCCCTGCTGGTCCCTATTGGCATGTGATTAACTTCCTTTATTGTAGAGACAGCCTGGGCTGTGAAGCCAAATTTCAATCCCTATTTTTCTACTTGGCACCTTCACCACCATCAGCGTCTATTTTCTTATTGGTGTGAGTGGAGTGGGGGCCTCTGTCCCTTCTCAGACAGCTTGAGTCCTCAGTAAGGTGACACGTGTACAGCATCTGCACGTGGTGGGTAGTGTGAGTTCCCTCCCTGTGCACTGTGCGTGAGGGGGCGGGGCCGTGGCCAGTGACAGCCGCCAGGACAGTACAGTGGCTCCTCCAAGTGCCACCTCGAGCTCCACCCTGCCCCAAGGCTCTGGTACCAGTTTCTCAGCCAGCCAATGGTGTGTGCCTGTTCTTGCCCACAGGTGGTGTGCGTGGGCAGGGCGAGGGGACATGGGGCCCGATATGGAGCTGCCCAGCCACTCGAAGCAGCTCCTGCTGCAGCTGAACCAGCAGAGGACCAAGGGCTTCCTGTGTGATGTCATTATCATGGTGGAGAACTCCATCTTTCGGGCCCACAAGAATGTCCTGGCTGCCAGCAGCATCTACTTCAAATCCCTGGTCCTGCATGACAACCTCATCAACCTGGACACAGATATGGTCAGCTCCACGGTGTTCCAGCAGATCCTGGACTTCATCTACACAGGCAAGCTGCTGCCCAGTGACCAGCCGGCCGAGCCCAACTTTAGCACCCTCCTCACTGCCGCCAGCTACCTCCAGCTGCCCGAGTTGGCAGCCCTCTGTCGCCGCAAACTCAAGCGAGCCGGCAAGTCCTTTGGCTCTGGACGGGTGGGGGCCGCTGGCATGGGGCGGCCTCCCCGCGGCCAGCGGCTATCCTCGGCTTCTGTCATCCAGGCTCGGTATCCGGGGCTTGCAGATGGGCGCAAGGGGGCCCATACCTCTCAGGAGCATCCCCAGGCCAAAGGCTCAGATGACGAGATCTTCCTGGGTGGCTCCACCCAGGAGAGCACACATGGCCTGGGCCGGGCTGTCTGCCCAGCCAGCGGGGAGGCGGGCCTGGGTGGCTGTAGCAGCAGCACCAATGGGAGCAGTGGGGGCTGCGAACAGGAACTGGGCCTGGACCTATCCAAGAAGAGTCCCCCTGTGCCCCCTGCAACCCCCGGCCCTCACCTCACCCCTGACGACCTGGCCCAGCTGAGCGATAGTCAGCACGACTCACCCCCCTCGGCCTCTGCCCCTCCTGTTGCCAACAGTGCCTCTTACACCGAGCCGGGGGGCACCCCCAATGAGCCCATGGATCTGGAGGGGGCCGAGGACAACCACCTGAGTCTGTTGGAGGGGCCTGGTGGGCAGCCTCGGAAGAGCCTCCGGCACTCAGCCCGCAAAAAGGAGTGGAGCAAGAAAGAGCCTGTGGCTAGCTCCCCCTTTGAGCAGAGAGAAGCAGGGCCCAAGGGCCCCTGCCCCGGGGAAGAGGGCGAGGTGCTTGGGGACAGAGTTCCCAATGGCATCCTGGCCAGCGGCGTTGGCGGGAGTGGCCCCAGTGGGCCCTATGGGGAGCCCCCATACCCCTGCAAAGAGGAGGAGGAGAACGGCAAGGACGGCAGTGAGGACAGCACGCAGAGCGGGAGTGAGGGGGGCAGCGGCCACGCTGGCGCCCACTACATGTACCGGCAGGAGGGCTATGAGACGGTGCCCTACGGCGACAACCTGTACGTGTGTATCCCCTGCGCCAAGGGCTTCCCCAGCTCTGAGCAGCTCAACGCCCACGTGGAGACGCACACAGAGGAGGAGCTGTTCATCAAGGAGGAAGGGGCCTACGAGACCGGCAGCGGGGGTGCCGAGGAGGAGGCTGAGGACCTGTCTGCGCCCAGCGCTGCCTACACGGCTGAGCCCCGACCCTTTAAGTGCTCAGTCTGCGAGAAGACCTACAAGGACCCAGCCACCCTGCGGCAGCATGAGAAGACGCACTGGCTGACGCGGCCCTTCCCATGCAACATCTGTGGCAAGATGTTCACGCAGCGTGGCACCATGACGCGCCACATGCGGAGCCACCTGGGCCTGAAGCCCTTTGCCTGTGACGAGTGTGGCATGCGCTTCACCCGCCAGTACCGCCTCACCGAGCACATGCGCGTGCACTCGGGTGAGAAGCCCTACGAGTGCCAGCTCTGCGGGGGCAAGTTCACCCAGCAGCGCAACCTCATCAGCCACCTGCGCATGCACACCTCCCCCTCCTAGAAGCCAAAGACCCGGGGCACCCTCTGCAGACTCGCCTCTCGGGAACCCAGCAAAGGAGAAGCAAGAAAGGAGATGCAAGGAGGTGCAGCGGGAGGGCCGGGACCCCTGAGGTCCTGGGGGGCTCCTGATGGCCCTTCTGGCTCAGCCTCCCCACACCCAGAGCTTTAATGGACAGTCTGTATCAAGGGAAGCCGAGAGGAGGGAAGCCAGCCCTGCTTGCATGTTGCTGGTGTCCAGTCTACCTCCTGATCCCACCCAGGCCTCTGGCTCCCCATGAGGGCCGCACGGGGCCTGTGGGAGGGGGTCACGTGGGTCTCGCTGGGACCTAGTCCTTTTCCCACAGGCTGGGTTGGAGAAGGGGGAGTGAGGGGGCCACTCTGTGCCAGTGAGGGGCAGGGCTGCCTGCAGCCGGGGGTGTATCGAGCAGGCCCCCACCCTGGCAGGGGTGTGTCTGTGTGTGTGCTCGTGTGCTTGTGTCTGTGTGCAGGTGCGTTTGACCCTGGCTCTATGGGAAGCAGGTGCTCGGGGGGATAGGTCCTTCCCTCCTTGAGCCAGGGCAGCACTGCTCATTGGCACTGGGACAGTCAGGGTGAGCCCCCCGCCTACCTCTCTACAACTAAAGAGCCCTCTGGGCCTGTGTTGCTGTTATTTCTACTGATCTGTTCCTTTTTTTCTTTTCTAATTTTGTTTTTTGAACCAAAACAAACAATAGTTTATTTTCTTCCTGGCCCCTCTGGGGCTGAGCCTGGGTCTGCAGACTGAATGTAACAGGGGCACCACCCCTCCCTCTTGTGCCCCCAGTTCTTGGCGCTGTGGGAGTATCGTGATCCCATCTCTCCAGGCCCAGAAGCCCTTCTTGCCCAAAGGCTTCCCTGGTCCCCGAGCCCTGCCTCGGCTGCCTCAGGAGAGAGAGTGCTTTTCCTATAGTTTTCAAGGAATATTCTTTGTTTAGAGGTACTTGTTTTTTATTAAGAGAAAAACCAGTGTAACGTTTATGTGACTGTTTGAACTGGAAAGTCTGGGGTTCTGTGGGTGGGGGGAGGCTGGACCTGATGCCAGGCCATCGGTACTCATTTTTCATTGTGTGTGTGTGTACATGTGTGTGCGTGCTGTGTGTGTGGACAGATGTTTCACGTTCCTTCCTTCCTCAGTGAACAAGGTGGAGAGACTTCTGACCTTTTGCTACCTCTTGAATTTGTGACAGCAGTATGTTGGTGACTGGCAGTTGAGGCTGTGACACTTTTGTTTTCCCCCTGTGGGGCCAGGCGCCAGGCACCTGAGCACTCTGCAGCTCCTGCCATGCCCAGGATGAGGTGGAAGTGAGCCCCCCCCATCCTGCCCCCAGGGCCCCTGCCTGAAAGAGCGTTAGCTTGGGAGAGCAGCAGCCCAGCCTGGCCATGGGTGGTGTGGGGAGGGGCTGACCAAAGTGCTGGGTACCCTCTGGGGGGTGGGGGTTGGCACCTCTCTGAGCAGTCTTGGCCCCCAGCCACTTTTGTGGAGGCAAGCCACCACCAATGGGCTCAGCCCTATTGGGTCCCACCCCCCACCCTTCACCTTGGGCTTTCTTAGCCAGCCTCAGACAACTCCATGGGTCCGGGCTGGGCTCACAAGGCCAGACCAAGGTCGCCCTGCTTGGGCCCACTGTCCTCGACTAATTGGAGCTGCAGGGCTAGGCTAGCAGGCTTTATCTTCTTCATTTTGCTTCATGCTTTTATTTCTTTGTGTTTTTCTTTCTATTTTAAGTTCAGACCAAAAAATTCCGGAGTCATCCCCTACGCTTACCCCTCCAGACACCCTCCAGCTGAAAACAGAGTCTAAGTTCAGGGACCCGAGTGGTGAATGGCGTGTTTTGGGGGTGAGGGAGTTAGGGCCACATGAGGGCTCCTGCTCCCTTTGGGTGGGAAACGGAGAACTGGACCCTGGGTCTGGAGTTCCACCAAGTCAGGCTGAGGACCTGAGCAGAGTGGAGCCCTGTGCTCTACCCTCACCCAGTGAGGGGCAGGGCCCAGTCCAGGCCCCCTGCTTTCCTGACCCCACCCCACCCCACCCCGTCAGCACTTAAGCCACATGACACAAAGTCTGTACCACACGGCAATTGTACATGCACCCAGGCGTGTGCATGGCCTCTTTGGCCATGGGCAGCCGCATCTGTGAGGTGACTTGTGAAAGCAGGTGATGCCTTTGCAGAGCTTCAGGGACTGGGAGCAAAGGCCCCCTCACTCAATGACGTTTGTGCGACATAGTATTGTACCCACCCTAGTATTGTATCGAGCCTTTTCTGTATTTTAATGAGAAAGCAAAACACTAGTTTCCTATTTAAGACTTTGAGGATTTGTGGGGTGGGGGATTAACACAACACTTGGTTTTGTTTTCTTTTTCCTTTGATTCCATGTTGAGTGTGTGCTCGTGAGTGTGTGTGTGGAGATGTTAAGAGCCTCGCAAGGAAATTAGGCCATTGGAGGCCAAGGCGGCTTACAGTTCTCTGCTTTAGTCACTTAATTCCTGAATGTTTCGGAGAAACAGGAAACAGAGAAAATAGCAGATGTCACATAGGAAAAAGACGATAAACAAAAAAAAAAAAAAAAAAAAAAAAAAAAAAAAAAAAAAAAAAAAAAAGCTCATACCCAAATTCACAAAACCTATTTTTTAAACCAAAGCACATTTTGAGTGAATATGGAACCTCAATGGGCTCAGAAAAAAGATACTAATATATTTATCTCATTGTTTACATAAGCTTTTACAGTTTCAGACCTCAGCAGCTGTAAGGCCAGTCCCAGGAAATCCTCACCTCCCGCTGGAGGCCCTCCTGAGTCGGCCCTGGAGCGGCTCATGGGTAGAGAGGCAGCCAGGGGCCAGGGAAGGGGCTGGAAGCCTCCCTGGGTTCACCTGAGCCCTCATCCCTGTACCCGGGGCCTCTCTCTAAGCCCAGCTGGCACCAAAGAGCTTAGGCCCGTGCTGACCAGCCCCCAAGGCCTCCTGGCCAGACCAGTGGCCTGGCCAGCTGGCATGGCAGGGGGTGGCTGTTGGCTCTGGCCATAGGACCCGAGTCTGGGTTTGGTCCCCGGCGTGGAAGTGGGCTCCCCCTGCTACTCTGCCTGTGATCCTTGGGGATGGGTTGATGTAAGGGTCCCCTTCAAGCCAAAAAGTCAGGACCTTTGCACAGCTCAGTCAACTCTTGTGGGTCCCCAATCCCTGGGGACCCCCCCCCATCCCCAACCCCACCCAGGCAGTGGAAGGGGCTGACTGGGCCTGGTCCTTACCAACACAGATGGTGCAAACACTCTTAACAGTGTTGTTTTTGTATCAATATGTTTGTGCAGTGATGAATGTATTTATTTCTCAGACTTGGGGTGAGCGAGAGAGCGGCAGGCCAGGCTCCGTCACTGCACGCTCCCGCCACTCCCAGCCCCAGCCCCAGCAAGGGCTCCTCCAGGATTGTGAAAAAGGAGTAAAAGAAAAGACAAACCTTTAAGCAAATAAGAATCTCAGAGACTCACAGCGTAGCCATACACCTCAGCCTGTGAAACAATCCAGACCCAGAATGACTCCTGACCTCACGCAGCCTTGTGTGTGTTTCCTGTTTGTCACCACTCGGGGGCTCTGGGCTGCCCGCCCACTCCCCCCACCCGTCAGTATTCACTGGACCTCAGGCCTGTGTGCAGGAGTGCGATCTGGCTGGGCAGGCAGACCCCACCTGCCCCCTGCGGCCGTCCTGAGTTGGGGTGAGGCCTGGGCAGCCAGCAGGGCAGGGTTCAGGGAGCAGGCAGCTGCATCCGTCCTGCCCCCTAAGCTTGGGGGACAAGAGCCGAAGGCACTAGGCCTTAAGGATAGACAGGTGTGTTCTCAGCCCTGCCGTGCCCCCTTGCAGGGACCAAGGTCCTCCTATTCCCCAGAATCCTGTTGGGGCAGATGCTATTGAACCTGTGAATTGGATGCTGGGAGTGAGGGCATGGGGAGGGACCTAAACAGAGCCTCAGCCTGACATTCCAACCCAGGGGGTGGGTGTGAGCTGTGGAAATTGAGGCTGCCCAGGACCCCCTTCCTAGGATGCCCCCAGCTTCAGTCACCTCACTTTAATATTCTACCGGGAACTCCTCCCCCTACCTCACCTTACTATTTATTGCTGTAATTTATTGACCTCAAAAATGCTGCATAACAGACCTCACTTGGGGCAGGGAGGATCTCCAGGGCTCCCCCCCTCCACTTGGTGGGGCCCTGTGGGGCCAGGTGCTGAGGGGAGCCTCCCTGTACCCCATCCATCACTTGCTTCCCCCCTGCTCCCCTCGGGGGGGGCCCAGGTTGGGCACTGGCCCATTCGCAAATACCTCGATGGGGAGGGGAAGGGATGGAGTTATAGCTGTTTTGTTTAATTGGAACTGGAAAAGGGATCATGTCCTACTTTTTGCCCTTCCCAGGAAGGGGGAGGGACACCGGGATCGCACTCCTGCACTGGCCACCACCGCAGTCACTCATCTCATTGAGTTCACTTCCCTTGAGAGTTTGGATAAATTCAGGTCAGAGCTGCAGGTACGCAGCCCTCCAGTGTCATAGAAAAGCGATTCACCAACGACTGATCTCTCCAGAAGCGTGCAGTCTTAATGTACAGCGATGAGAAACTGTTATTTTATGATCTTTTCATTAAAAGCTTGATTGAAAACTATCCAATGTGGGGTCTCTGTGTTCTGCTGTGGCTGTTCTCTCTGGCAAAGTGACAGACGGCTTCCAAGTTCTAGGAAGGTGGGGTCTGAGATGGGCTTGGTGGTGGTTGTTGGCACTGGGGTTGGCACTGGCCAGGGGACTAGCACTGCATGGGCAGCATCCTCTTGGGCAGCATTGGCCTGGGTTGGCTGAGGCCATCCAGGAAGCAGTGGACAGTTAACGGTGGGCGTGGGTCTGGCCACTGGGATGAGGGGGATGGTCTCACCAGTGCTTGGGACCCCTGTTGGAACAGCAAGGTTGGAGCTGAGGAGGGGTTGAGGCAAGTGGAAAACTCCTTCCCACCGCTCCTTCTTGCTGCTTGGCCTGAAGGTGGAGGAGGGAGGAAGGAAAAGAGGATAATGTTCATCCCCAGGGGC